ATGACCTGATGTGTCTATCGACGCTTAACTGTCTCAAAATAAGCACGCTCACATTCTACTGATTTCCCTGTAAAATATTGAATATAAGTAAAATAAATGCATTTTTATTTGTATCAAACGCCCATAATAAATACCATGCCCATCTTTGTTTTTTAGCTTCATATTCGTATTTATCTGACCAAACCGATGGAGTGAGTTTCGGGTTGCTCTCGGTGGTTCAATAATAACAGTTGTGATGGTGATTGTTCGAGGAAGGAAAAAAGAATTACCATTCCTACCAAAAACCTTTTTCATATAAAATGTAAAATTTAGTATATACAGAAATAAATTGATGACCGTTTCTCGGAATGATACTCACAGGTATTACCGCATATAGTGTATCTAATTACAAATTGAAATATATAATCGTAAATATTCCTTTAGAGCAACAAATGGAATTTAAAATTATAATACTAACCTACATGTCCGATAAAGTTGAAATGCTCTTTCCATATAATTCCTCAATACATAGGCTCCGCCTTTTTCGTATTCTCATTAGAAGTTTCGCTTATATTCTCTTCTAGCATAAATAATGATCAAGTATATTCGTAAAGATAAAGAGCACGATGAAATATTGATTAGTACATGACACAGCATGTTGATCCGTACACATCTTTGAAAATTTTCATCAAGCTTTGAATTGCTAAAATTACATTTATACTTACGTCTCTCAACCATGTCAATTTTTTTTGAAGAATCCGCGGAAAGTTAGAATTTTTACGTCATTACAACACAATACTACTCGACAACAACGTTAGTCGCATTCTTGACTATATTGAAAGAATCCTCAGCGACAGATTTTGATGCTCAATTAGTAGAACAGCCTCTAAATTCCAGCAAAATATTTGCTGGTAAGAGTATTAAAAAAGATCTTCATTTTCTGATATTGGTAATCGAGTTTTACCCCACCTTTTCTATTTCTATTTACAGTTAGTTTAGTTTCTCGATTCAAAATGAATTTTTTTTTTAATAAATTTACCGTTATTAAACTTGGAACTGAACAACTTAGTTATATTACTCCTTGCGTGGACAATTTTCACATTATTGGATGCTTCGCTTTAACTGAGCAATGGAAGCTACTGCTATATATGCTGATGACGACAGAGTTTATCATTAATACACCGACATTGTTAGCTCAAAATATTGGATCACAAACGTAAGTTTTTCAAAATGTTCAATTTTTTTCAATTTTTAAGAATGAATAGGTTATTTATAATTAATTTTATTCCTATTTAAATAATTCTTCGATTAGTCGGTTATTCATGCAAAATGGGTTGTTGTGGCTAAGAATGATGAAAGAATACGATTCTTATCAGAAGTCTTGTCAAAATTCGCGAGAAAACGTAAATTCATGTTTCTAAGCATTTATTTTGGTGTTTCTACATTTCCGATTGATCTTATTATTTATTTATAGTATGAAACCTTCAGAAGGCGTCATAATTGAAGAAATGGAGTAATGATGGTATGTGTATTTCTAACATGCGAATTTAGGGCAAATTGTGATTCAAAAATATAAGTTGCGTTATAACTTGCAGGAGTTTCTTCAACTAAAACATCAACATTACGCGATACATAATCTTTTAACATATCTTTATGACGTCGATGGCAAAAATCATCGTGGGTACGTAATTTATGGTTATCATATCTATATATATTATTTTAAACGATTTTTGAAAGTCGTGGATTAACTTTTTTCTGCATCTGTATATTGGGAACATTGTAGTGGATAAGCATCAATAGGTTTAGAAGCTTATTGGATTTTTTTTTTCCCACGAAGGGTGTTTACAAAACAATTATATGGAAACGTTTCAGTAAAATAAAGTCATGAGATATAGTAAATCATATGATCCATAATGTGATTTTACTGGCAACGCACCCTTACTCACATTTATGCAAACCTTGCGACTGCTGTGACTGTCAACCATTAATTCGAGAGATCATTAAAGAAGTTGCTCCCTATAGCATGCATCTTATTGATGCTTTAGGAGTAGATTCACGTATGCCTTATGCATCGATTACGAACGATTTTAGCACAGTAAAAATCAAAGGTAACATCTAGTATGAATATTTGTATTTTATTATGATTTTTTCAAAGATCTTTAATTATATTTTTTTAACTACTTAGGTAAAAGATATCTCGGTCAGAATGAAGGCCAAATTTTGATCATCAATTATTTAATATATAAGTTGTTACTGTAGTTAATGATTTATTAATAATTATGAAGTAAGTTTGTTTTATATAGTTAAATATGATAAATTTTTAACTAGTTTAGAATGTTTGTATCTTCCAATATATGACTTGCATATTCTTTATGACTCCTCTCATTGTACCAAAAATAGAAAATATTTGATGAAAATCCGTTTACCGAACCTAAATTCAACATCATCTCGAATAATATAAAGTTCGAAAAAATGTGGGAGGGACATGATGAAAAAATATTCCTGTACCACTTTTCATGAAATAAATTGCCGTTGCAAGAACAGAAGTCAGCAATAACTAGTATATATGTGTTGATTTAAAAGCTCCTAGGACGTTCTTTTATTATAACATCCATTCGTGTATTTTCATCTTCCCATTCATTCAAAAGGAAACATGTTTAACTTTGCGCTTGCGTAAATCAATTCTTTGTTCATCTTTAGACTCAAGCTCTTATGAAATACCGGAAGGATCAGTAAACTTTATTATTATCCATGTCTCGTTATACCATTAGGAGATCATTTGTGAAATATTGATAATTAGTTTTATAAATATCCTAATCATTTGAACAGGATAGATCATTCGTAAAGGAAATGAATAAATGCTTATATTGGAAGTGATTTTTATTATCAAGAATTTACATTATAGATAAGTATATCTAGTCTAATTCTTCTTAATGTTCAAAACTCTATTTTTTTAATAATATTCAACGTTTAATATTTCTCTTTTATCCAATAAAAGCTATTTAAATTATTATATTCTTAATAATTATAAACAAAGTAATTAGTGTGGGGTACGATTAATCAGCTTATAAAAAAGATTTTAATTTTTTCACAAACATATAAAATATTTTTTATCACGTAAAAATTTTAGTGAACCTCCAACTTTCAACAATCGTCTAAAATAACAAATTAATCAATTTCGAATAAGATATATATTGATATTATAATCATAAATTACGTACCATGATGATTTTACCATTAATGTCAGAAAAGATGATGTATCGCGTAATGTTAATGTTTTAGTTAAAGAAGCTCCTGTAAGTTATAACGCGACGTAAGACAACTTATATTTTTGAATCACAATTTGCCTAAATTCGCATGGAAATACATTTAGTAATAAATTGATCATTAAAAAAATGAAAATTACATCCATACCATTATTACTCACATTTCTTCAATTATGACGCCTTCTGAAGGTTTCATACTACGAATAAATAATAAGATCAATCGGGAATGTAGAAATACTAGAATAAATGCTTAGAAATATGAATTTACGTTTTCTCGTGAATTTTGACAAGACTTCTGACAAGAATCGTATTCTTTCATCATTCTTAGCCACCACAACCCATTTTGTATGAATAATAGACTAGTCCCAAAGAAATGTTTAAATAGAAGTCAAATTAATTATAAATAACCTATTCATTCTTAAAAATTGAAAAAAATTGAACATTTTGAAAAATTTACGTTTGTAATCCAATATTTTTGAGCTAACGATGTCGGTGTATTTAATGATAAACTCTGATGTCATCATCATATATTCCATTTTTGAAGCATCCACATTATAAATTATTTTATTAATATAAAAAGCATAAAAAGTTAATTTATTAAAAAATCTAACTATAACAGTCAGTGGTCATGTCAGATCACCTGCCGATCACTGATTGAATTTTGTGTAACTTGATTTAAGTGATAATATGATAAACAAAATTTGAGGCGATCTATTTTTATAATTTTAAGTCATGTGATTTATATTATGTGTTTAAAATTATAAAATAAAATATTAAATTATGTCGATTATTTCCTAAATAGTATATTAATCATGTTCATCATTTCCAAATTCTATTTTTAGATTTATATGTAAAAAATTCAATTGCTTTTTTTCATTTTTAATATTAAGTTAAAGTACTTTAAAAATTTAACCAGTTAAAGTTATTATAGCATAGATTAATATAAAGCAAAAATTTCAATTTTGGTGAAAAGGTCTCAGAGTCCCATTTTCCTAGCAAATTTCCTATATATAAAAACTTTATATCAAATAGCACTGACTAAAAGATCCCCCTTTTGACGTACCCTATTATAATATATCTGGGTATTTTATTAGACGAGTAAAAAAATTTTCTGATTAAGATTCGGATATAATTTAATTTTTTAAACAGATAAATTGATATAAACCTGAGTATTTTATCCGTCAATAAACTGCATTAATTAATATCAAAATTTTTTTTTAAGAACTTTCAAAATTTCAAAATTATATTATTTTAATAAACACAGTATATCAAATTTAATTAGTCAATTATACTTTATTACTATAAAAATATGCATAAAACTCATATTGTAACTATCAATTCCAATCTTGAATTACATTTTGTTCTTTATTCTCTTTATAATAATTATCCTCTAATTCACTTTCATCGCTATCTTCTAATTCAATTTCATCACTATCTTCTAATTCACTTTCATTTTCATTATAATCACTATCTTCATCACTGTCTTCATCATTACTTTCATTATCTTTTTCAACTTCCCTTTCAAGATCAACCTCTCTTCCAAGATCTTCTCTATTTACTCTATCTTCTAATTAATTAAAATCAAAAATTAAAGTATCTTCTATTCTATCTGTAGTATTTGAAATACCACAACACTTAAATGACCTTCTAACCTTATTAACATTAACAGCATCCTAACCTTCCTTTACCTAGTTTGCTACAAGCGAATAAGATGATCTTTTGATTTTTCCAAACAGAGTATAATCTTTAATAGCATTACACATCCAATCATTATAAAGATTTTGTACCTAATTTTTAAATTAAAATTTATTATATTAAAGAATTGTAAAATATAATTTTATTATATAAATTAAAACTTAGTTTAAAACTGAAATAAATTACCTTTGCTTTAAAAGATCTATTTAGTGATACATCAAGTGGTTGTAAATGAGAAGTTAATCCACCTGAAATAACTGCTAAATCAGTTTTTTTTTCACGAAACCGTTGCTTTACAGCATCAGTTTTATGAGCAATAAAGGAATCTAATACCAAAAGAGACCTTGAATTATTGCTTCAACTTACACGGTTTGTCCAAATATTTTCTATCCACTAAGTCATCTCACTTTCGTTCATCCAGCCTTCAGAATTAGCACAAATTATTACACCATCAGGAAACTCTTCTCTTGGAATTTTCTTAAGTTTAAAAATAATAACTGGTGGAAGTTTTGTCCCATCAGCCATACAAGCCAAAACAACGGTAAAATTTGAACGTTTGTGTCCAATTGTTAAAATCAAAATAGTTTTAGTACTGGATTGTTCAATTGTTGTATTACTTGGTAAGTTAAATGCCTCGGTGTCTCATCCATATTTCCAATTAAACTTAATAGATAATTATGTTCATTTCTACAATATAGTACATATGATAGAAACTCACTTTGCTGCCTTATGTAATCTTTCAGAAGTCGTTGAGCAACTGTTGTTTTCCTTCTATTAATCAAATTATGACAAGACATAAAGCCATCAACCCACTTTTGTGAAAATTTGGCATTTTTTATATCTGAATATTCAGCTTGATATGATGATTTTTTAGCTAAAAGACGTACCTTAATTTGAATCATATAACAGGTTACTGTTTTTAATTGATTTCGAGCTTCTTTAATCTAATCTATAAGTTCACTTTCAAGATGAGGGTATTTTGGATGTGCTCCTGTATTTAACCTTTGGGTATAAGGAGCTACATTTAAAAGTTTTTCTTTATTTCTGATCTATTCACGAAGTTGTTTCGGCTCAATAATAAATTTATCTGCTGTTAATCGTTTGCTATGACCTTTTTCGTGAAATATAATTATCATCAACTTTTCTCGTGCTGACCAATATCGTCTCTTTTTTTGTGTAGTTCTAGCATGACGAGTTTCAAAATTTTCACAAACCATCTTTTTATGAATATCAATATTTAGGAAAAAGAAAAAAAAAAACAAAAAACAAAAAAACTTTGAAAAAAGGGGTAAGTAAACCTAAGTTTAATAAACTGAGCTAATTAAAAAAAAATTGTGATAAAGAGGCAAATCATAATCACAAAAAGAAGCAATTAAAATTTTTTGCAAACGCGTCTACATTTTATTTAATTATTTCACTTTTTGAATGAACAATAACTAAAAAAAGTATCTGTAGCTCTAAAATATTGCCAAATCTGTTATTAATAAAGATGGTCACCACAATTAAAAAAAATAGCGCAATTGAGTTGCAACTTGTAGCGTAATTAAATTTCCTTATGGCGCAATTAAGTTGCAACTCAATTGAAATTTGAAAATAATTATGGGGACCATCTTTAGTT